CATTATTCAGCTTTATTTTTCTGAGTTTTTCCAATGCCCGGAAATTACTTTAAAGGCATTGTATAGGTCTCCTCCGATTGATTTATTTCCCCCATAAGCACCGATGGACGATTCTTTGTGTGTCAGTGGATCTTCTTTCACCTTATGTACATCATAGATCTGGTTGTTTTTGGCCTGTACAAGTGAAATAATATTTAATCTTATAATAATAAATATAAAATGTTGCAAATATTATCATTGCTATTATTGGCTTTTCCCGCGTTAAGAAAAGAAACTGCAGACTAATATATCGCTTTAATGCGTTGGCAGAAAAAGTTTGTTTTGATATTTCCTTCTTGTATCCCGTTAGTTTTAAAAAGACAAGCGAACGTAAATATTATGAATACTTAAATAAACTTTCCAATGGTAGGCCCTATGTGTTCTAATCCACCCCCCCCCCCCCTAAAAAAAAAATAGGGATGGAGTAAAACTGCCCACGGTAATAAGGTCAAAACTTCTACGATCACAAGTAATGATAAAAAAGATAGTTTACCTGTAGGCAATGCCTATTTTTTAAATCAGTAGTTCATTTCTGCTCTTTTTTTATATAAAGAATATAATTCAAGAGTTCACTCCAAACGTGTTCTATAAATATCACTACTCTCCTATTCGTACGGCATACAAAGCCATTTATTGCCATTCCCACTGTCACGTTATATAACAGATTTTGAAGAAGTGTTTGATAAGGTCAGTCAAGAATTGAATTAATTGTTAAAACTTTTAAAAAAGATTGATATATCAGGTAATTTGTTAACATTTCTTATCAGTTATCTGAGTGAGCGAGAGCAACGGGGTTACATTTAAAGGTTCCTTTTTACTCGGCTCCATGTAAAATCCGAAGTTCCACACGGAAGTCCCTTGCTTTTGAAATTTTGCATAAATGATATCAAGTTAAATCTAAACTCACAATGCTGACTCTATGCTCTTGACACGAAGCTCATTCGAAAAATTTATACTCTTGAAGATTTCCAAAGGCTACAGTCATATCTTGATGCTTCCTGCAAATGGTCATTAGTGCATTAAAGTTAATGTAGACTAAATTATTTGTATTGCTATTATCATCATCATTATCACAAAAATCAGTCAGTGGTGGAGTGATTTTACTACAGTACATCGCGATGGAATATTTCGTTGCTAGGACAGCTAATAAGGCATAATGCTTATGAGATAAACAGGGTGATTGACTTGTAAAACAACTAAAAATAATAAGGCGCAGCTAATACGCGCAGCTAATGCACCCGCACAGCGATCACTGAGCAACCAGCAGTTTGATGGATTTTAAAGGGCCTATAGCAACTGCTCTACAACAAGCGGTTTGATTACAAAAGGCCATAGAAAAGGTGATGGACGTCACAAATGACTTATAAAGCAATTATAGTGAAGAATTTTTGTACACTATATGAAATAGAAGCAGAAAGAACCATTATTTCCTTCAACGGTTGCCTTCAGCTCTGCGACTTCAGGAATTTTTTTTCAGGAAATAATGGCTCCTTCGGCGTTTATTTCCTATAGTGTACTCACAACCTAACTATAATTGTTTATTATTATTGTCGTTATTATTATTATTATTATTATTATTATTATTATTGTCGTTATTATTATTATTATTATTATTATTATTATTATTGTTATTATTATTATTACTATTGTTGTTGTTGTTATTATTATTATTATTATTGTTAATGTTATTGTTATTATTATTATTATTATTGTTAATGTTATTGTTATTATTAATATTGTTATTATTGTTATTATTATTACTGTTATTATTATTATTATTATTATTAT